GTGGCCGGGAGCGGCCACTGCACTCCAGTCTGGGCGACCGAGTGAGACTCCAACTCAAAAAATAAAAAATAAAAATAGTTTTGGATTTATTGTAGAGACGAGGTCTTGCCAGGTTGCCTAGGTGGGTCTTAAACCTGCGAGCACAGGCCATCCACTCGCCTCGGCCTCCTAAAGTGCTGGGATTATAGGCTGAGCCACTGAGCCTGGCCTCAGTTTTAACTTCCCCGAGCACCTTCAGTAACTGGAAGCTGAGGGAAGGGTGGGTATGGAGCCTTACTGGCATTAAGCACAGGTACATGCTAAGTAGGAATTGAGGGACTGTAGAGGCAGAGGGCATGTGGACTGAAATGGGTCATAGAAACCCAGCCAATGCCAAGCACTTACTTTGTTCTAGCCTTTGATGAAGGGAGCACCTGAGATACACCTGTAGTGTCTCTGGCATGTGAAGCTAGTTTAACAGGCTTCTCAGGTAGTGTCACTGGAAAAAAAGAAAACAGAAATCAGAAATATCATTCAGCTAAAGAGAACTGGAGACAAGATAAAAAGGGTGGCAAGTTCCTTCACGATGAATCTCTCAGATGTCCTTTCTGAAAGAAGGGTGTGTTTGGAGGAAGGAAACTGGCTTCATTGGCAGGTTCCAATATCACTCCTTGAAAAACCTGATTGGGGCAGAAAGTGGTCTATTTCCAAGAAGGAAATCAACCCTAAGTGCCAACCACTGCCAAATGAAAAGCCCAACCCAACTGCACCCCATGGAAACGCAAGAACAACAACAGCATTTCCACAGCCCCAAACTGTAAGCTGGAATATATCTGGAGGTTACATCCAACCTTGCGCTCTGTGGGTTCTCTGGAGCTGTGTGGAGGAAACCTAAGTCTCCCTGTCCCTGGTGACCTTTGCATGACCAGGAAGCCCTGCCCCTCAATACAGCAACGTGAACATAAAGAATAATTGACTAGTATCCAGAATATATAAGGAACTCTTACAACTCAACAGTAAAAGACAAACAGCACAATGAAAAAGGGGCAAAGGAGCTGAACAGACATTTCTCCAAAGAAGATTTACAAAGGGCCAATAAACATCAAATGATGATCAACATTAGCCATCATTTGCCAAATACACATCAAAATATGAACGCAGCAGGGCATGGTGGCTCACGGCTGTAATCCCAGCAACCTGGGAGGCGAAGGCGAGAGGATTGCCTGAGTCCAGGGGCTCGAGACCAGTCTGGATAACTTGGCAGGACCTAATCTCTAAACTAAATCAAAAAATTAGCTGGGTGGTGGCACACACCTGTGGTTACAGCTACCTGAAAGGCCGAGGTGGAAGGTGGAGGCTGAGGTGGCTGTGAGCATGCCACTGTACTCCAGCCTGGGTGGCAGAGTGAGACTTCACCAAAAAAAAAAAAAAAATCAGAATGAGATACCCACTTCATACCCTCTAGGATGGCAGTCATCAAAAAGAAGGAAAATAAGTATTAGAAAGGATACAGAGAAACTGAAACCTTATTATATTGCTGGTAGGAAGGAATGTAAAATGGTACTGCTGTTGTGGAAAAGCATTTTCTCAAAAAGTTAAACATCCAGGTACCATATGGTCCAGCAATTCCACTCCTAGGTTTATATCGAAAGGAACCAAAAGCATACGTCCACTCAAAAACTTGTATATGTTTATTTTTAATTTTTTTTTTTTTTTTGAGTTGGAGTCTCACTCTGTCGCCCAGACTGGAGTGCAGTGGCCACTCCCGGCCACCACAGCTTCGCCCTGCTGGGCTCCGGCGATCCTTCCACCTCAGCCTTCCGAGTAGCAAGAGTTACAGGCACGCGCTAACACGCCCGGTTGATTTTTTATTTTTATTGTAGAGATGAGGGCTCGCCAAGTTGCAGGCTCAGGCAATCCACTCACCTCAGCCTCCCAAGGCACGGGATTACAGGCTGAGCCACCAAGCCCGGCCTGTATATGTTTATAGTAGCAAATTCATAACAGCCAGATGTGGGAATAACTCAAATTTGTTCATCAACTGATGAATGAATAAACAGAATGTGGTCTATCCACACAATGGAATATTATCTAGCCATGAAAAGAAAAGAAATATCGATACATGCTATAGTCAACTTTGAAAAGATTATGCTACATGAAAGAAGCCAGGTGCAAAGGTCAGATACTGTGATTCAATTTTTAGAAATTGTCCAAAATATGAATATCTGTAGAGACAGAGAGTAAATAAGTGGTGGCCTAAGGTTAGCAGAGAGAAGAAGGAGGACTGACTACTAAGAGGTATGGGGTTTCTTTATGGGGTGATGAAAATGTTCTGCAATCAGGTGATGGTGATGGTTGTACAACTTTGTGAATTTTCTAAAACCACTGAATTGTACACTTTAAAGGAGTGAATTTTATGCATGTGTTTTGTTTTTGTTTTTTTGAGCTGGAGTCTCGCTTTGTTGCCCAGGCTGGAGTGCAATGGCACGATCATGGCCACCTCAACGTGCTGGGCTCAGGTAATCCTTCCACCTCAGCCTTCCAAGTAGTTGGAACTACAGGCATATGCCACCACACCTGGCTAATTTTTTGATTTATTGTAGAGATGGGGTCTTGCCATGTTGCCCAGGCTGGTCTCAGGTTCTGGGCTTGGGCAATCCTCTTACCTTGGTCTCTCAAAGTTTTCAGATTCCAGGCATAAGCCACCGTGCCCAGCCTGATATGTGAATTATCTGAATTAAAAGAAAGAACAACCTAAAACCAGGCGATTCTGGGGAAGGAGCACTTACTGTCATCTCCCAGGAGGTCATCAAGGACATCATCAATGGAGCCTGGAATAGAAAAGGGGCCATCACGACTTCAGGAGAAAAGAAGAGCCCTTATATACCTCAAGGTTTGAGATTCACCCCAGGGCCTCAGAGTCTCCAGGTGTTCAGATTTAGGTTTAGCTTTCCCTTCATTGGCCAACAGATGTCTCTGGCAACAAGTCACAATGCCTTGTCGAAACACATGAGGGCAGAAATAATTTTCTTTTCTTTTCTTTTTTTGAGTTGGAGTCTCACTCTGTCACCCAGACTGGAGTGCAATGGCCGCTCCTGGCCACCGCAGCCTCGACCTGCTGGGCTCCAGCGATCCTTCCGCCTCAGCCTTCCGAGTAGCTGGAACTACAGGCGCGCGCTACCACGCCCAGCTAATTTTTTGATTTATTGTAGAGATGAGGTCTCGCCAAGTTGCCCAGATGGTCTCGAACCCGCGGGCTCGGCAATCCACTCACCTCAGCCTTCCAAAAGTGTGGGATTACAGGCTGAGCCACCGAGCCCAGCTTGAAATAACTTTCTTAAAGAAAGATGGTGCAGATTTTCTGTAGAATCTACATACTAGCTCACAATCAGTCTTCTTCTTCTTTTTTTTTTTTGAATCGGAATTTCACTCCATTACCCAGGCTAGAGTGCAGTGGCATGTTCATGGCCACCCCAGCGTCGACTTGCTGGGCTCTGGCAATCCTTGTGCCTCAGCCTTCCAAGTAGCTGGGATTACAGGTGCATGCTATCATGCCCGGCTAATTTTTAATTTTATTGTAGAGATGAGGTCTCACCAAGTTGCTGGGCTGGTGTCGAAATCACGGGTTCAGGCAATCCACTTGCCTTGGCCTCCCAAAGTGCTAGGATTACAGGTTGAACCACCGAGCCTGGCCTCTTTTTTTTTTTAAAGAGATGAAGTCTCACCAGGCACAGTAGCTCAAGCCTGTAATTCCAGCACTTTGGGAGGCAGAGGCAGAAGGATTCCCTGAGTCCGAGGATTCGAGACCAGCCTAGGCAACTTGGCGAGACCTCGCTTCTACAATAAATCAAAAAAATTAGCCAGGCATGGTGGCGCACACCTGTAGTTCCAGTTACTTGGAAGGCTTAGGCAGAAGGATTGCCTGAGTCCAGCAGGTCGAGGCTGCGGTGGTCGTGAGTATGCCACTGCACTGCAGCCTGGTAACAGAATGAGACTCCAAAAAAAAGAAAAAAAGAGATGAGGTCTTGGTATGAAGCCCAGGCTGGTCTCAAACTCCTGGGCTCAAGCAATCTACCCATCTTGGCCTCCCAAATGCTGGGATTATAGGCCTGAGCCACCGTGCCCAGCCCCCGCCTTCCAGACTCTTAACACAGCCCGGTGTGGCTCTTTGGGAAAAGTATCCAAGATTTCTAGGCACATGCAAGCTTCTTCCAGGCCAGTAGCCTCCTTGTACCCTTCCATTTGAGTCTCCCCAGAACAGGTCAGAATGCACCCTTCGTTGGCCACTTTCTGATGGGGGCAAGTGTAGAAACCCAAGTAGGAATGGTGAATTAATTCGCCTATCCAGCTTAAGTGCTTTTATCGCCCTGAACCCCAATCATATGCTTCTGGAGCAGTATTTTTTCTAAAAGTCATCTCTTATTTATTTCTGAATTTCTCTGAGGGCCAATGAGGGAGAGCATGAGTCCCCTAGGAAGACCAAGGCTGCCCATGGAATTATGGGAAAAACAGGAAGAGTCTCACCAAGAACATTTAAACACTAAATTATTTTGGAGGGAAATATATGTGTGTGTGTGTGTGTGTGTGTGTGTGTGTACTTCTTGCGGGGCTCTGGGAGAATTAATTTAGCATCAGAAAATAGCCAATGAGGGGTGCATTCAGACCCGTTCTGGGGAGACTCAGATGGAAGGGTACAAATATATATATTTGGCTTAAGAGTGATGTTTCATCTCTCCACTTACCTTTCAGTCTCTTCTTGGTTTTTGATGCCTAAAATGGGAGAAACCAATCACATTAACAAAATCAAACAGTGAACATGTATTAAAACTGGAAATACGGGCAACCCTCTCAGTTCCCCTCTCACTGTGGGACCTTTTCTGACCTCTTAATAAATTCTGCTTTCAAATTGTTTGACCTTTCTTTTTTTTTTTTGAGTCGGAGTCTCACTCTGTCGCCCAGACTGGAGTGCAGTGGCCGCTCCCGGCCACCGCAGCCTCGACCTGCTGGGCTCCGGTGATCCTTCTGCCTCAGCCTTCTGAGTAGCCGGAATTACAGGCGTGTGCTACCACGCCCGGCTGATATTTTGATTTATTGTAGAGATGAGGTCTCGCCTGCCCAGGTGGGTCTCGAACCCGCGGGCTCAGGCAATCCACTCACCTCAGCCTCCCAAAGGCGTGGGATGACAGGCTGAGCCACCGAGCCCGGCTTTGTTTGGCCTTTTGCCAAGTCATCAGAGGCAGCTGCACTGATGGCGTTTAGAGAAGTCCTTTATGCTTTCCTAGAGTTTCTGAGAACAGACTTAGGGCATGAAAACAGCCCTCACTTTCCAGCAGTGGGTGCCAGTGGGTGGACAGAATTCTTTTTCCCTGATTTCCAGATGCTACATGCACACCCTCCCCGCCAAGAAGTCAGGTGACTGGAAATGTTTTCATTTACTCCATGTGCCTGACTCCTCAATACCAGTGACAGACACTTAGAAACACTTCCAGCTAGACATGTAGAGGCTCAGAGGAAACCTTGTTTTTTGCTTAAGTTGGGCATCAATCCTAACTCCCACCACTCTTCTCCAGGGACCACATCCTGTTTCTTGCCACTCATCCCAAAGTGCTCCATGCAGTTGGGATTTTTGGGGGGTGGGGGGGATGCGAGCACTCTCGTACCTCTCACCCTGCACTCTACCTACCATATCTCAAGGTTCTGGGGGCTCCTTGAAGCTCCTTCGCAGCACTGTCATTTGAATTCTGCTCTCAGCAGGCTCATTCTCCCTAATGAAGAAAATTGAAGTGGTTGCTTAAAAATGATGGAGCTTTAACAGTACCTGAGCCCAAGGGTCATCAAAGCTTCTCTTTTTTTTTTTTTTTTTTTTTT